CCCGTGGCCTCTTCAAAATAAAAGTTTCCCTCGAACTCTCGGCGCTCTGACTCTCCCAGCCTCCAGACTGGGCCTTCGCTTTTGCTCTTACGCAATCAGGGGGTCCAGCCCCAAGCCCCAGACTTAAACAACAACTGGGGGGCGGGGAGAAGCCGACCAGATGGGGTGGAGGTGGTGGAAGGGGGGAGGTGTTGATGCTCTGCAGGGAAAGAGGGATCTTGAAAATACAAACTGCCCAACATGCCCAGTATGAGTTTGCCTTCCGAATTGGGTGATGTTACCCTCCGCTGCTGTACTATTTTGTATTTTCTTTAAAAAGAAGAAAAAGAACATAAAAAATTGCAGTTAATTCCCCCATCCAAAAAAAAAAAAAAAAAAAATCCGGAGAGCGGAGTAAAAGAGGATCTAAATCTAGAAACTAGAAATGTCCCTTCTGCAGAAACTTGGTCCAACTAGAGATGGGGTATCCAAGCGATTGTGTCGTTTTGAACCTGGTGCCTTAGGAAAGGTGCCTTGTCGTTATGAATCCTCTAACGGGAGTGGGAAAACTGGAGTCTAATATGATGGTGGTAGTTTGGTTTTTTGTTTGTTTGTTTTGTTTTGTTTTTTAAGGCTGGGTCTGAAAGTGGATAGAAATAATCGCGGGTCTGTGTGGGTTTGGATAGCTCTCCGACATGAACGACCTTTAGTCCTATGGAGCCACTTAATCTTGACATGCCTTTGTTTTGGGGGTTATCCGGGCAGAGTTACCCAGGCGTCTTTCTCAGTCTTGGGCATTTGGGAATCGTCTACAAGCCTGCCCCCTGTGCGTCCTGAGGGAGGCGGGGTGCGCATTTTGGCCCCACCCGCTCCCGCTTACCTTCTTAGGTTGAACCCTATGAATATTGTGCGGTTGAGAGAGGAGCCTCAAACCCAGCACCCATCACGCGAGGCCAGAGACTGTGACCGGAGAAAACAATCCTGCTCTCGAGGGAAAGGGGGCGCTCACGCTCCAGGAACCAGGACTAGGTCGAGTGGGGCTTCCGAGTGAGCGCGGGGGAGGGGAGCGATGTCACCTCCCCGCTTTCTCTAATTTTGAATTCTTTTGTTGGGAAGGAGGGGTGATCTTTATCCTTCCCCCCATCAAAACACACCCAAACACCCTCAGAGAGACCAGAGTGGCCGAGATGAGACTGGCACTTTGGACAACCATCACCTTCTCACAGAACGGCAGGGTGGACCGAGGCTACGGGCAAGGGAGAGTCGCAAAGAAGTACTCTAAAGGGCGTGGTGCTGAGTTTAACAGGGTCGGACTTTTGGGGTGTCAGGCTGGGGAAGAAGGACACTGGGGCTTGCCTGAGGGCCTCATTCCCCAAGCCCTTCAGCGCGCCCGCCTCACATGCATCTTCAGCTCGCGTGACTGCACGGCCCACTATTACTTCCACATGTTCCTTCAGGAAACCATTGAAGGCAAATATATGAACAGCCCCCTTGTTCGGAATGCTAACAGGATACCGTAATGTTTGTAGATAATGAACGGAGACTAACGAATCCTAACAACAACAACAAAAAAAAAAAAAAATCAGAGGGCGGAATAAAAAAAAGTGGGAGCCTCCATGCCGTTAGTAAAGACAAGTTGAAACCCAGGTTTTTATTCCAGGTGCCCGAGAGGGCAGGAGACGGAGCTGGGAGCCTACCCGGGAGGACCTGCTTTGCAGCCTGGAAGCTACCAGTCCAAGCGCCTGGGGTCTCCTGCAATCAGGGCCCCAAAGCTCTCCGCCCACAAATGGTAACTTCACAGTTGGTTTCAGAGTCGCTTAAACAGACCCGAAAAGAGGGCTGGGCGGGGTGTTTTCGGGCAATAACTCCTCGCAGAGTTTAAAGCCCGGGGGATGGAAGAGCCTGCAAGCACCTAGTTGTCCTTCTGGTAGTAATTACCTGCCTAATTTGAATGATGCCTTTGTTATGATCATTAACAAACATTTGCTAAAGGTTTCCATGTGTGACATTGTCGACGGTTTAAAGGCCTGGAGAGCTGACTTCAGGGATAGCGGGCCGGTGGGGGGTGGCGCAGGGAAGCAAATGGTTGGGGAGGGCAGATGTCCCCGAGTTGGGACCAGGCAAAGACGGAGAGGTTAACATCTGCCTCCCCTGCGAAAGCAAAATAAACCTAGTGGTCAGGAGCAACCCCCGTGCAGGAGGCCCTGGAACTAAGGTGTCTCTTCCAGAAAACGAGTCCTGCCCCGAAGTCTCGCTCCACCGCCCCTCCCACTACTCATAGGCAGATTTGAACCGACTTGTCCGCCCTCGGCGGCTCCTCCGCGGCTTCGGGAGAGGTCGGGTCTGCGCTTGTCACTAGCCGGAGCAGAACTCTTGCCATGTTGTTCTAAGATCCTCCCAAATTGCTCCCCCGACGCCCGGGTGGTCCGGGAGCCGGAGCCTGCACCGAGTGGCGCCTGGCCCGGCCAAGGCAGGACGCGAGGTCTTCTCTCCCCTGCGGGCGCTTCTCAAGGGACTGAGCCTGGGCTGCTGGGCAAAGGTCCCAGCCCGCGCCCAGAGTTTCTCTCTTTCTTTTCCCTTGAAATAGAGCATCAAACGGTTAAAAAACAGGGTTTTCTCCGAAAACCGGGAATCCGGCGACTGCGACTGGAGGAGAAGGAGGCCCAACCCCCAATTTCGGCTACATTTAGGGAAATGGTAGGGATGGGGGCTCGGCGGTTCTGGTTGTGGCCTCCCTAGGTTAGGCCCGCAGGCGACGCGAAATTAGTCATGAAGGTAGGAAGGGATGTTGTAGCTAAGCAAACCTTCAAAAAGAGAGTCCTGCAAACTTTTTACAAATAAATGAAAACGATGACTGGAAACAAAAACCTCTCCCCGCCCTACCTCCTGGGCTCGCAGTTCCAACTATTAGGAGCTTCCCACCTTTGGCTTTCGTGGGCGTTTCCCCTTAGAGTTGGCTTTTTGTTTTTCTGCTCTGCGGTAACCTACCCCCTCCCAGCTCCGCCTCCATTCCTCGGAGAATTCAGAAGGTCCATTTGCTTCAGAAGACTCGTGATTGTTGTTGTTGTTAGGTGCCGTCCAGTCGATTCTCATAGCGACCCCAAGTGATAGCGTCGAACTGCCCTATAGGGTTATCCTGGTTTATGGGAGCAGGCCGCTAGGTCTTTCTCCCGCGGAGCCACTGGGAGGGCTCCAACCGTCCGCAATCCCGCGCTTAACCTTGCCGCCAGGGCTCCTTTATCAAAGTAGTTGTGAAATTGACATTTAAACACACATCCGTGTGTGTGTGTGTGTGTGTGTGTGTGTGTGTTTAAGAGTAATGAGAGGCGGGGCACGTTTCTGGCTTCCGCATTTGAAAGTGAAGGGCAGTTTGCCAAGGAAAACGGCACTAAACGCCCCTCCTTCCCCGCTTCAACTCTTAACTGCTGCTCCAAGAGTCACTTCCCTGAGTCCAGCGAAGGGACTTTGGCCAGAAAGGCTGTGAGGAGCTTTGGATGTGTTGTTGTTAGGTGCTGTTGAGTGGTTCTGACTCATAGTGACCCTATGTACAGCAGAAGGAAACACTGCCGGGTCCTGCGCCATCCTCACAATATTTGCTATTGTTGATGTGGTGCACAGATGTGAGGGTCCCCACGGGGAAAGGGAAGAGGCTCCGCCCTTGCCTCAGGCCTGCCCTAGCTAGGGCTCCAAAGCCCGCACTGTGCAGCTTTGCACACTCAGAATGATGAGAGGCCTAAGTGATGGAAAAGGAGGAGGAAGAGGTCTCCAGAAGGGTAATTTGTGATGCCACTTAGGCTCCCTATGGGACTCTGTCAGATTGTCCAATAAGCAAGGTAAGCACAGACTTACTTGTACTTACTTACTAATCCAACACATCAAAGATTCTGCTTCTAGGTATAGCTGGCATCTGTCTCTCTCTCAACCCCCCAACACCTTCCTACAGAATCAAAGCCTCGTTCAAATTTACAATCCCTGACAGAGTAACCAGTAACCAAGGTAAGCATTGGCTTACTTGTGCACCATGTGGTGAGAAATGTGGAACTGTTCACCACAGATTAGTAAGCAAAAGTAAGCCTGTACTTACCTTGCTTGTGGGGTAATCTGCCCCTACTGGGTCTCCTCACACACTCTTCTGGGTCCCTTGCACCCCTCCTTTCTTCAGAGAGAAGTAGAAAGCAGTTCCTTCCTGGTGAGGAGAATCCTGACCAGCAGCCCCCTGTCTGAGCAGTTCCTAACACCACCAGCTAACTGACCTGAGGACCGGGTGGCTTGACTCAGCACAGTGAGGGTTGGGAGGGATGGGTATTCAAAGCCTGGAAAAGACGCGTTAGGGCTGGACCTCCACTGGATCTGGATTTCTTTGATACCCTTTCCTGGCTTCCTCAATCCATGAACATCCTTGGGCCTCCTACTTTCCTCTCTTTCTCCCTCTGACTTAGTTTTTAGTTACTTTTAATTTGAAAACCCAAGTGAGGGATGGGGGAGGGAATGACGAAATGGGGAGGTCTGCTCTTTATTAGGGGCCTGGGCCAGCCAGCTTTCCAACACACAGCTGTGGCCGGGAGGGAATGGAGGCTGCCTCTGCTTAGGTCAGCCTGATTGAAGAAAATACCTTGTCCTCTGGAAGTCTCAGGAGGAAAGCAGGGCCCTGTGATTTAAGAAAAGAAGAACTACCCCATAGGGTTTCCTACTTTCTGATCTTTATGGAATCAGATGGCCAGGCCTTTCTCCTGCAGAGCTGCTGGGTGGGTTCCCACTGCTCATCTTTTGGTTAGCAGCCACACATTTAACCGTTGCACCACAGGTGGCAATAAATGTTCCGCTAATTATAATACATGTCACGAACACATCATATCACAGATGTTGGGTA